AGTTGTTAAACATATCCAGGATGCAGCTCTGACTCCGAGACGATGCGAAAAAAGAGACCCAATCCTTACAATAATTTCCCAGAGGCCAAAACCCCACTCAAGGAGGGGTTAGGGAGTAGGAGTGTTGGGGGGAGAAGGAACTGTCACCAGAAGAAATTTATGAGGTCTGGTCAGGTTTCCTGCTTGCCTTTTCATTGTGGAGGGCCTGGGTTTATGTCCATCTGTATCTGTCCTATTAAACTGTGACTAGTATAGAACTTAAGTATAATTTTATTTTATATTGAAAAACTGATCATCAACTCTTATGGGGAAACAATCAAATATGTTGGAACTTACACATAGAAATCAACTTATCCAACTATAAAATCTATGACATCAAAATAGAGGGCAAGGATTTATGCTGAAAATTTAGCCCCTAAATTGAGATGTAAATGTAAAAGACATTCTGATTTTGAAGTCTCAGAATGAAAGGAAAAACAAACTAGCTCACTAATAATTTTAATATTGATTAAATAGATTACATTAGGATGATCTCTTATATGTATGGCCTTAAATATATTAAATTCATTTCATCATTCATTTCTTAAAGGCTGTTTATTTACTTTTGCATAGAAGAACTGGGGTGTAGGCCAGAGGTATGGGGGTTGAGAGGATTCACCAGACACGGAGTGGGGAGCAGACAGGCAGGCAGGCAGACTGAAATGCAGTGCAGCAGGCGAGACTCACAAGTGCACCATGTGGGTCAGCTCCTTGACCTGGGATCTAAGGCCACAGCAGTGGGGTATCTTGGTGATAATACTAAGACTTAACCCGTAGGCCAGCAGTGAGGCCCTATTTTTGTGTTTTAGATGTGGCTGTTAGAACATTTTTAAACTACCTTTGTGTTCACACTGTGTTCCTAATGAGGGGCGATCGCCCCTACTTCTGCTATTTGATATCAAAAGCTCACAAGTAAAGCTCACAAAATGCTTACCAGCAATCACAGGAGGATTTTGCTAAAATTACAAATTCTAGAAGAAAATGAACTAATCTTAGTAGTGTGATGGAGGGTGGTTTGGAAGTGACCTCTGCTCTGTCCTGGGAGAATATCTGTTCCTGGCTGCCACGGCTGGGCAAGGAGCCCAGGACACAGGCAGTGGCCAATTTCTCATCCCAGAACCCAAACCTGAGAGCTGACCTGAGGGTCCACCATGACTTTGCTCTAGACACAGACAGAAAAACTAGATACGAACCACAGAGATCGGCTGGGCCTGGCCACAAGATGTGTCCTAAAACCATCAAAGAGAAAATCAGAAAGACAGTGTACCCTTCAACTCTGCACCTCAGAACAAGGCAACATATTTCTCACATGCTGTCCTGCTTAGACTGCCCTTCCTTCACTGAGTAGGGAACAGAGCACTTAGCTCCCTACTGACCTCCTGGGCAACTTGTTTTTTGTTTTTTGTTTTTTTTTAAGATTTATTTATGCTTACAGAACTGGGGTGCAGGCCAGAGGTGTGGTGAGTGAGAGGATTCACCAGAGACAGCATGGGGAGCAGAACAGGCAGATTTACTGAAACACAACTGAGGGGAGCAGTTGATGGGTCAGTAGAGGTCTGCCACATTATGTGGGTCAGCTCCCTGACTGGGAATGAACACGTGCTGCAGTGGCTTCTGAGCGCTTTATACTGTGGAGCTTTAACCTGTTGCACCACCAGGGAGGGCCCTCCTGGGCATCCAGTTCAAATCATCCTCCCAGTTCAAATGAAACCTTTCCTGATTTTCCCATATCACCTCCTGGGGCTTCTAGCCTAGTCAAATTCAACCAATTCCATGCTGGTCTCAATGCTTTTGTTCTTGCTCCTCAAACCTGACTTCTAAAACAGACTCTCTCTCCCCTGTGGAAAATTACACTGGGTCCCCATTAGCTAAGACAGTAGTTCTCAAACTATGAAAGCCCTACCAAACAGATGGCTGGGACCCTGTCTAGGTTCTGATTCAGCATGTCTGGACTGATATTTTGCATTTCTAACGAGGTCCCAGATATTGCTGCTGCTGCAAGGACTGTACTTTGATCTAAAAGATCAAGTGTAGATTTCACCTTGGCCTTCAAGGCCCTCCACACATGGTCTCCTATCACTCACCACTGCCTTTATCTCTGACTGCCACTCCCAATCCTAACCGCCCCCTCATCCTAACTGCTCCCCCATCCTAACTGCCCCCCCATCTTAACCCACCATTATCTACAGCCCTTTCACCTTCACACCACTTATCACTTTCCTTACTGCCTGAACAACCTTTCCCATTCTTTCCCCCACTAATTCCAAATTTATGAGTGTGCATCTAAATCAAAATTTGGAGTGTGCTTCTTTTTGGGTTTCGGGGTTTTTTGGGGGTTAATCCAGTGCTACCTGCTTTGATTCTGCAATGTCTGCAAACAAATCCTGGAAAAGCAGGAGGTGACCCCTTCAAGGGTTTACAATGTAACGAAGGCAAACTGTAGGGCCTGTTCTCAAACAGGAGGGGAAGAAATGGTTTGGGCCCAGAAGCAGCTCCCCCTCAATAAAGTACCAGAGGAATGAAAGTATCTGCCCACAGTGACAATTTGGGGACAGAAAATTCCAGTGTATCTATTTAAACAACCTTGTGACAGTCTAGTTGGGTTACAAATTGTCCTCTCTCTGGTTCTCAACTCTGACACTTTCTAGCTGTGTGGCCTGGGGGAGGACTCATGTAGCATCTTTGTTTCTCATTAATGGGTATAAAATAGAGATTCCAGCAACAAAACTCACAGAGTAAAAGACACATGGACAGGAGTCAAGGAAACCTCAGCACAAAGGCCTACCAAGCTCTGGATAAAGGTTAGCTGCTATCTCAGGACCTGGGGAAGTCAAGAACTTGACATCTAGCCACAATCAATAAAGGAAACAGACACATTAAAGTTTTCTTAATGGTACATAATCAACAGTCCAACAAAGGCTGCGTGCTGGAGGACTCTGGGAGACAGATAAATACAGGAGGGTGGGTGTTAACCAGCCGGCAGCTGGGAAAACACCTTTGTATAATCCAAAGTGGTCCTGAGGCCGTTTGGTAATGAACACTTAAAAACCCTCCTAAGGACTTCTCACTGGAGAACACAAAAATTCAAAGACATCCACTCCAGAGCTGTTTACAACAGGCAGGGGGGAAAAGGAAACAACCTAAATGTCCAACAATAGAGACTGTCTTAGTTTGAAGATGGAGTTTTATAGACTAATAAAAAATAGACACAGGTGTTTCCCTTTTGACATGGAAACATGTTCTTAACATATCTTAAATATGAGAGAGTGAAAGGTTAAGTAACAGGTATGCTACGAGTTCTGTGTCTGTATACATACAGAAAAGGTCTGAAAAAAACACATCTGACATGATGAGTGGTTATCTATGCTATCAAAATTAGGAGTGTGCACCTTTTAGGGGGTTTTTGGCTTTTGTTTTTCTATACACTCTCATTTCGTCTAATGACCTAATTGAATGCTCGTTTAATTTCTTAAAAGAGAAAACCTTTCAAAAGCAGCAACTGCTCAGGACAGAGAAAAGGCTCAGCTTCATTGGCCTCAGCTGTGTGACTACGCTGAAGGGCCCTTTCCTGTCTGTGCCTGCCCCCCTCTGGGAACAGGATCACTGGTGTTTCTACAGTGTACACCCCCAAGGAGGCTAAGACCACGAAATCCCCCCTCCATGATATCCAGAAGCCCAAGGAGAAGCTTAGGTGCCAGGGAGAGGGGCCCCTGCCTGGAGGCCATCAGTTTGAGCAGGCAGACCTCTGGGCAAGGGCGCAGGGCCATGGGTTCTCAGCTCCACCCCCAGATTCTGGCAGCTTTCAATTCTGTGAAACGAGGAATAATCTTCAACAGTGGTTTCTAATCTCTCCTCTCGTTTTATCAAACAGCCAGATCCTGTTGTCAAGTGAAACAGATTTCCTCAATAAGCATCAGTAATTCTGTGCCTAGAAATCAGGCATGCTGCCCAAAAAGCCAAGCCAGAGTCAATTTCCTATTATTTTAAGTGGGAAAAATTGTAACGCATTACAGTTTTACTCCAAACTAATCTCCCAAAAGATAACGAAAACACAGTTAACACTCCACCCCTAACAATCATGATAGAATGTAAATGAAAAAAAAAAACGCTTCAAACGTGCCTCCTGACCACCAGACAGTTATCAACAACGGGTACCGACCTCGGCTGGGACAGTAAAGTGATGACTCCTAAACCCTTTAACAGGCTGGACAGGCGATTCTGACAGTCTTCAAATTACAACTAGAGTTTACGTGAGACACAGAAACAACGTCTTACATATAAAACATCGGCTGGAATAATGGCTAGAGGGATTTGTAGCGTAGTTACTTTTGGATTTCCTAAACTGAGAGGAATGAATATTAGGAGACGTTGATGGGGGACACAATAATCCTCTAAACATTTTGTGGGTTGACACCGTATTCAGAATGGGAATTTGGAGCTGCACACACCCCATGCATATCAAAGTATGAGGCTGCGGATAGAGAGGGGCTGGGTAGGGGCCTGCCACCATATAGTAACAAGGCTGCTGCACGAATAATAAGTTCCCCAGCACACATCCCACTCTTCCGTGTGTTTTAAGTGCCTCTCGTGAATGACCTCCCTTAGTCCCCCTAACTATTCCATGAGTTACCTATCACCATTCCCCATTTTACAGGTGAAGAATCCAAGGCACAGCGACATCACCAACTTGCCTATCTATAATAACAGAACAGGATCCAGGGGGGGTCAGGCAGTAGAGGCTACAGTTCCTTCCTGTTCCAAACGACTGTCCCCACCCCCACCGCCAAAGAAGGGGCTCTTGGGGGAGCAGGGGATGCAGAGGTTCCCCCTATACCTCCCTTCACCCAATTCTAGCCATCAAAGATGACGGCCAGGCGGTGACCCTTTCTCCACACTGAGATAGAGCTGAGGGCCTCCGGACTAGACCACGGGCCGGGCAGAGGTGTGGGCAGCACGCTTACCCACAGCTTCGCATCAAAGTAGTAGGCTCCCAGCAGCTTCACGATGTAGGGGTGGTCGCAGGTGGCCAGGATCTCGATCTCCACGATGTAGTCCTCCAGCTCCTCCTCACTCTTGGTCTCGATGACTTTGGCGGCGGCCAGGGCACCCGTCTCCTTATTCTTGGCCTACAAAGCAAAGGGCAACATGAAGGTCAGCAAGGCACACTGGGCAGGAAACGCACTCCTGGAAGCCAACTCAGTATGTGTGAGTGGAAACAGAGGCCGGATGTCCAGAGGGGGGTGAAGGGGCTGAAGCTGGAGAGCTGCCATGCTGGACAGTGGCAAGGGTGGCGTGCTGCCTCAAGCACACGCACTGAGGTGCACGCACAACAGTGGTCCAGGCTAGCAATCAAATTTTTAAAGTACAACACACCCAAAGTATGAGGTAGATAAGTATACGAGAATAGCATATACATAGCTACACAGAAAGATCGTTGAGTCATTCAGCCAGAAATCCCAGTCACTGGGTAATAAAAGTGGCACAGTACTTTTTAAATAAGAAATGGACAATTGCGTTTCATAAACAGTTGTGTATGTCTGTAGATACACAGAAAACTCTGGAAAAATACTGCCTGACAGAAGAGTGGGGAGCACCCCTAAAATGGGGAGATTCAACTTCCGTGCTCCCTTCAGTGGGTGAAAATGTGAATAGCTAAGTTCCAAGCATTTATTTGCAGCTTTCAAAGTAACAAGGGGTTTAAAGGATGCCCACTAATTACAGTGACGTTGCTTCCAAAATGCATTTCCCAAGGTATAGCAACTGTTTATTTTATGATAGCGTGAGTTTCATACCTACTAGGATAGTCATAATTTTTTTAAATAATGGAAAATAAATGTTGGCAAGGATATGGAAAAATTGCAACCTTTGTGAACTGACGGGAAAGAAAATGGTGCCAAAAGTGTAGAATGGGTAAAGGAAATGTGGTATATACAATGGAGTGATTACTGACCCATAAAGAAATATTCTGGGCCCTCCCTGGTGGCGCAATGGGTTAGGACACAGCACTGCAAGCTGGCTGCAGCCACTTCAGTGCAAGTTCCATCCCCACCCCAGAGGTGACCCACATGGCCAGCAGACCTCGCCTGACCCGCCCGCTGCTCCCCTCAGCAGTATATCTCATCCATCTGCCCGTTCTGCTCCCCTCTCTGTCTCTGGTGAATCCTCTCACCACCCCGCACCTCTGTCCTGTACCCCAGTTCTGTATGCATAAATAAATCTTAAAAAAAAAAATTCTGAAGTGTGCTACAATGGACAATGACCTTGAAAACATTACACAAAGTGAAATAAGTCAAGAACAAAAATGAAGGTCCTCCTTATGTCTGATACCTGGACTGCACAAGCCAGAGGGTCCCAGGAACTGGTTACCAACAGGAAAATGAGAGCTAGCATTTGATGGGGACAGCGTTTATGTTGGGGATGAAGAATTCTAAGTATAGACAGTGGTAAAGGTCACACAACACTGAGAACTTAATGTCCCTCATTAAGTAAATGGCTAAAATGATCAATATTATGTATATTTCCCCACAAAAAATGAGAGAGAAATACTATATAAATGGTGCAAACAATTGCACCCAGGATAAGTTAGTGTCCAATGTGAGCAGAACCCACAGTTCCTTGTGGTGGTCGATAAGCTTTGGGGTGCTTCTGTGGTCCCAGCATTTAAGAGTGCAACATGGCCCCAGAAGTGGGTCCCTCATTGGAGGCTCTGAGTGGGACCTATGGGGAAACACAAGGCAAACAGGCCGGGCTGCACCCCGTAAGCCCGAGGGCTCGTCTCATTCTTAGTGCCTGATGCCTCAGTGAGAAGGCCTTACTCTGACATCAAAGGCCGACCCTGCAGCCTGATCCACTGGAAACACAACAGCCAAGTTACTCCTGTGTACCTACTGCCCCAGGAGGTCACAGGCACTCACATTCATGTCACCTGTGATCACCACCTAACTAGTACCCGTGTCTCCCCTTCTACAGACAGGCAAGTCCAGGCTAAGAACCAGGGCAGTGGCATCCGAATTTGAATCTGAATCCTCTTACTTCCAACATCCTGGGCATTAGTGCTCATATGCCAGGTCTCCCTGTCAGCTCCAGGGCTCAGAAGCCTCTAGGAACAGCTACCAACAGACCTGGTTGGTGTCCTGCCAGTCTCACAGGGCACCCTCCACATGGAGACACAGCAACATTCACCTGGCCTCAAGGAGGGTCAGGTCCTCTGGAGAGAACCACCCTCTGTGGCCTGTGGTAGCCTGCTCATGAGTGGGAGGGGTGAATGAAAAGGGGCCCTGAACTTCATCAGGGAACCTTCTGGGAGGGATGCCAATAGGCAATTTTTACATTCATTTGTAAATTTATCCCCAGTTCAGATAAATGTTTCTATTAATTGAGTCGAGTCCCCAGGGCCGCATACAACAATGGTGAGCTCTGCACCAGACATCTGTGATGGTTCAGCGCCTGCTACCTCCTCATCTCAGCCAGCCCAGGAAGTGATACAGTATTATCTCACGCACACTGAGTGAGGCAGCGCCCCACCCGGAGCAGGTGACAGAGCTGGAGGTTCTGCTCAGGTCCCGTGGGCCACCCTGCCCTGGGGCTATGCCCATGGCTGCCTCATTCTTGCCCATCACTGTGCCTGACTGAGACCTTGTGCATCCAGTGAGGAGATCAGTCCAGGGAATGGAAATTCCATGCGGACCATTCTTAAGGGTCAATCCTTGTCCAGAAGGCACCCCGCCCACTATGCCCTGTCTGTGTGGGGTTCTCTGCCCTAAACTCAGTTTTGAAAGCTTGTGCACAACTTAGAGCTGGGCCGGGTGGCTGTGGGGCCACTTAATAGCACCAGCCGGAGCAGCACAGGGCGCTGACCTTTCCTTCCCAAGAGCTGGAGAGGGTAGCTGTATGGCCTCTGTTCCAGAGTCTCCTGGAGGTGGGGGATGTGTAGTCAGGGACCACATTCCAGGGGGCAAGACCTCCCTTGCTGGCCACCCTGAAGGATAGAGCTGACCAGGAGCAGGGCATCAGAACACACTGCCAGAAGAGCACTCGGATGTCTGAGTCCAGAGCTTGCCACAGAAAGGGAAGCAATCACAGCTACTTGACTGGAATTAAATTCTTTAGAAGCCTGGTCAAGGCAGCAACCAGTCCCTCAGGCAATGAGGACCTAATAATGGCTGATGATAAAAACAGCTAGGCGCCTCAGCGCTCACTGTGTGCCAGGACTGGCCTGAAATGGGATTTCTCCCTCCATCCTCAGTCTAGTCCTTGGAGACAAATCAGAGCATTCGCAATGCACAGGCATGGCGACCTCTCCGGTCACACAGTGAGCAGGGGCTGAAGGCCAGATGACAACACGAGCCTGCCCGGCTCAGGAGCCTAAGCTTCAAATCCCACTCAGAGTGTCCAGCTTTCCCTGCTCCATCTCCAGGTAACCGAGCACCTCCGCAATAGCACTCGTGGCAAATGCAGAGTACTACATACACCAGGATTCACCTGCCCACAAGATGCCATCATGCCCACCTCCCAGACAAGCCGACCGAGGAGCCACAGGACTGTGAGCTGTGGTGGGCTCCCGAGAACCAGGGGTCTTTTCACTAGGCTGCCAGGAAACAAGAGAGTCCCTGTACAGTGCTCATCCAATCATTACAGGCTCTGCCCATATTATTATGTGTGAGCCATTTTTTCCAGTGAACAAAAGCTTTTGCCTAGAGGGAGAATTTGTGGGTAGAAGCATTACCCTCTCATGACATAACTGACCCTTCCCTGACTTTTCTTCAAAGAAGCCAATGGGTCTTCCCAGTCCCTAAGTTCCAATGGAGCTGATTCCACTGCCATGGACGTGGGTGGGTGAGTGATTTATTTCAGCCCGCCGGACACTACAGTCCCTCCAGCCATAGTGACTGACTCCGAGACTGGCATGGGGTCAAATCAGCCAATAAAAGGCTCCCTCAGAGCAACTGCCGAGAATGCCCAGAGTCCTCCTTCACTGCCAGCCTCCAGCACTATGGCACCAAGTTTGGAATGGCCAAGCCAGCCTCATGGCCTAAAGGAAGCCTCAGAATGAACTAGCCTTCTGGCAATAGAGCCTAAGAGGGCACAAGAGGGCACTGTTAGGTCCACTCAATTAACTTTTACAACAGGGATCATCATTTGTAAAAAAGAAAAAACCAGTGTTCAGAGAGGGAAAGTCACTTGTCCAAAGTCACACAGCAGGTAAATAATGAGTTTCAGACCTACGTGGTTATGATTCTGACTGCTTTTTGCCAGAGGTGCCTATAAATTCTGTAAAGATCCTGTTTGGGCTTCGGTTTACCCCTCTATACAGTCGGAGGATGGGGGAAATGATGCCTAAGCTCTTTCCAAATCTAACATGAGGGCATTTAGGGAAGAGTGGGTCTTGGAAAGCTAAGGGCAGTAAGATACATGGAGCACCCGTAGGAGTGACAGGCAGGAAGTTACACAAAGAACAAGTGGCTGTCTATGGCTTCTGACGTCTGTCTCTCCCACCCGGAGAGGCAAGGCTGGGGTCCAGGGAAGAACGGAGGGAGCCCCGGCCCAGCCCTCTACCACTGGCCAGCAGTGACTAACGCCTCAGCCCACACCCTTCAGAGCAAACACACAGTGGCCATTTGTGTTTTCTGGCCCAGGCACCTCTGTGGGAACAATCCTCCCCCTGTGCAGCACCGGGACCCAGCCCAGAGGAGGTGGGGACAACACTCAGCCTTAAGTCCTGATGACCCCACCCAGGGGCCCAGCCAGCCCAGGCAGGGGCTGGGAGCTTCCTGAAAGTCAAGGGCACAATGATAGCCAGCAAGAGAGACCAGGTTCTCCCCGTCCCTCCTGGCTGCAGGCTGAGCCTGTGTCTTCCCTCCTCCTCCAGAGAAAGTGCTGGTATCACAGATTACAGGGCCAGAAAGGACCTTGGTCTGTCCAGTCCCCACTCTGCCGAGTCCACAAAGATAGAAGCCGTGACTGGAGTCCAGTCTGCGACAGCCACCTCACCTGTAGGCTTGGTACCCGTAAGTCCCTGTAAATACCACCCACCTCTCATCAAGAGGAACTGATGAGAACACTAAGGCCAGAGGGCTGGGGTCCTGTCCCTGCCACACACACGGCTTATTTCAGGCCTGAGAAACAG